AAGATGACCCTTACCCAGCATAGATAAGAGCTGTCAGTAATCCCAGCACACACTTTGATGAACAGACTGTGTTACAACACAGGCTGAGTCCTCAGACCTGGGACTTTCACTTTGAAAGCCAGAGGGACTGAACAAATCAGATTTGCTCCACTGGTCTGCAGATGTATTCTCTCCTATGCCCCAGACTTTCAGCATAGTCTCTTTGCTGTACTGCTAGTAAATTACTTCACATTGGGATCTCTTTGTGTCATTATTACAAATGGGATGTTTTCTGTTACCTGGCACCTACAGCTATGAGTGGGGAAACTCTACAGATGAGAAAGCTTTGCATTAGTTTCCTGAAAAAAAACACAGCTTCCTTTTGTACCCCAAGAGCTCCAAAGTAGGCAATGAATACAGGGCTTTTCTAGGAACATACCTTCCAGATACTTTGAGAGTTGTTTTTAAACAAGTGTCCAGAAAAATCATAGATACTTTTAGACCCCTCTTCTCCTGGCCTTGGCTAGCAGAAAGGAAGAGGAAGTGGAGAGAAACACTGGAAGAGCTCATTGGAAGGTGCAGGATGACAAATCACATTGTCCAGGTTCTCAGCCCTGCCCCTTTACACAATCAGCACCGTAATGAGAATTGGTACCTTTCCTTCCTTCCACCTACTCTTTCCCCTCACTTTGCCTCAAATGCAGATGGGCAAGATAAGGCTACTAACTGTCACGAAAACCTGAAGTACTTGATTTTGATGAGCCAGTTTGTCAGCCTTTGACAATTGCTCACTGTTCTGCCCCAAACAAACTGGAGGTCAGCCTACTGACTAGCATCAAGGGGCACCATTGAGAGAACCACCATCCCAGGCAGTTTTGCTGGTTTAAAGGGTAGTGGAAGCCAGAGACCAGGCTGTCATTCTGGATCCTGCCTGAAGCACAGACTCTGCAGCGTGGGATAAAATTACACTTCCACACCCCATGCAATACCTGTTTTGTAAGTATTCAGTTTCAGTTTCCAGGACTATCGGCTTAGTGCCCTTGAAGATGCCAAGTTCCCTTTTCTTTCAGGTATCTTAAGCTTGCATTTGCGTATAGACACACAGCAACAAAACAACAACTGAACTAAAAGTTGGAAAATCTGAGTTTAAAAGAAATATATATTTCCCTAATAGGTGCAGAACATGGAGACTAAGCACATAAACAATTGTGTCAGAAGATCTCACTCAAGTCTCTGGAGGAATAAACCTTACATCTGAAATGAGCAGTACACACAAACATTACCATCCCTTCAACAATGGCAAAACCTGCTGGTGATCACTGACATCACTGCCATTCACCAAAAGACTGAAAAAAAGCACTTCTCTTGCTTTCAAGATGACAAAGAATCAGTGTTACTTTTCAGAAAACTAGGGCATAAATGTCTAGCTTTGTATTAGCAATACCCACTCAGCAGATTAGAGGTACACTCCCTTGATCAGTTTTAAATAAACAGGAAGGTGAAGGATTTCATTGCTAACTTAGTTCAGACTTTTCATTGATTTGTCATAAATGTCATAACTATTTCAGTTATTAAGTATTCAAATCCATAATCCAAAAGCATGAGTATTACTTTCCTAGCCTCTTCAAAGGACAGTTTTAGAAACACATTATCAACAATCTGAGAAGGTCTTTCTTCTAAGAGGAAGGAGAGGAGGCATCACTTAAAAATTTCATAGAATTGAATTTTAAGACTACATCCAAGGTACACAAAATGAACAGGAACAGAGGAGAGAAATCATGAAGCAAATTGAATTGTTTGTGCCTGAATTCAAAGAATGGCTGAGGCTGAAGTTCACACACAGAGGATGGATACCTGTAATTAAACATTAATTTACTCAGCTCTATCTCTGTGATTTACATACAGAACCACTTTCACACACTATGTTCAGTCACAGAAACAGTATTTGTTTTACAACATAAGCTTTAAGAAAATATTGAAGCTGTTAAGTGCATGATTCTCTTCCTGTTTTGTCTGGTTTCTTTGTGGATATAGTTGCAGCACTGCTGGAAAGTTGGTAACTAAACCAAAAACCAATTCAAATGCAAAATAACCTTCTGTAAACCCATACAAATTGTATTTGAAGAGCGTACTATGTAGTAAAATTCATTCCTGTATATTATAAAGGGAAAGGAGAAAAGAGACTGTTAATGAAGGTAAAAAGGGATATTCAAAGTAATTTTTATTTGCATTCTTCTACTACACAATAACTGGATCTCAAGACCTTGCAATAGCGGGTGCCACACAGATAAATAACAAAAATGCAGCCCTTGTCCCAGAGACAAGGAGGGGGAGAGGAACTTAAAATATTTGGTGAAAAAGCAGTGAATACAATTCACTTCAAAGGAAAGGAAGTATCAGGAACACGTGGCTACAAAGATCACTGCCACTTTTAATACCTGCAGACTGAAAAAAATAAACCCTTAACATTGTCATTATTTGCTTGCACTGGAGGAACAAACTCATTGCCTACCGGACTTCTCCAATTATAATACACACAGCCAAAACCAAGAAAAGGAATGGCCTATATCAAATCAGTTTACAGAATATACAGAATATACTTCACAAATGTCAGCCACTTTAAGATCTATATAAATATTTATTTCCCAGATGACAAAACCAACTCTCATACAAAGTCTAATCGAGTCTTCAAGTATTCTGAGAAGACCTGGACTATGAAAATATTGGTTATTTTCAATCTTGTGATGATATTCAAATATCCTTAATGGAGGAAGGAACTTCTTTATTACTTTGGAGTATCAGATCCATTAAAGGCCTCTTGGATTTTAAACTGATGTACAAAGACAGGTCCAGCATGACAACAGAAACTGCAGATGAAGACAACATATAGCCCATCTCTCACAAAGATGACACTGACTTAGAATGTGCTAGAGAGGAGGAAGAAAAAAAAAGAAACCTCTCAGCAGCTGCAGGTGCTTGCTGAGTAAACAGGACAGGTAAAGAACTAAGAGCAAACACTGTAAAGTAGCAACAGAACAACAGACACTAAAGACTCAAGAAAGCCTCACATGGGTTCATCACACAGTCAGAGCTGCAATGGAGGGACCTTACTTGGTATCAGGTAGGGAGGGCAGCCCCCTGAGTACATGCATTCTCCATTTCCAGGCACTCCAGCCATAAACCACCTAATGACTGATAACACATTCAAATGTACAAATGTAGTTATTTATCCACATATATCGGTGTGTAAGTGGCGTTCTATTCTAGAGACAGTATGAGCCATTTTAAGTATTTATGAAAAGAAAAGCAAGTGAATATACTTCCAAAATATTTGGTACAGTTTATTATTTCTCACTAGGAGCAGTCAAGGTAATCCACAACATTTTTATCTTATTAAAACCACATGTGTTTGTTTGTTTGCTGTCTGTGCTCCCATGCACATTCATCCATTTATCTACTTACAATTCACAGCAACAAGAGAAAATAAAGGAATAATCAAAAATCAAATCTCAGTTAAAACAAGAGAGACAAAGGATAAGCACATCTGTATAACTGCTGCAAGCAGAAAAGAGCAGCTAAGTCAATGAGAACTTTTACCCTTGGAAACTATCAGTGCCATTGAACAAAACCAGGAAAATTATTGATTTTTAGCTTTATGGACTGTTGACTCTGGAAGTCATCCAGTGGGTGACAAAGGAAAGTAATATGCTTCTTAAAACATTAAAAACTCAATAACCTCAAACTAGAGTTTGTATCTCCATTTTATACGGGCAGTTTCAAATATACAGAACAGCAGGTAACTATGTACACAAGATCCTGACACAACAGGCACATTAACAATGGCTAGCAATATATATTTTATCATGATGCTCATATCCATTCTGAGGGGGGGGAAAAGTAGAAGCTGCAAACAGAAACAAACAAACAAACAAACCTAAAGAAAAAAAAAACCACAACAACTTGTGCTCTGAATTTGTTTGTAAAAGCTACCAAGTTACCTTCTTCCTTCAGGAAATCAGTTAGTTATAAATTATTCAGCTCTAATAAATACACATAGTATAAATTTGCTATTTAAATGCTTTCTAGCCTCTCCTGTTACACGGTAGAATGGTAACATCTGAAATTTAAAAGTGTCTTGAGGCTACAAACTAGCATTTGTTTTGTAAACAACAACTGATACAATTCATCCCCCTTCTCCAATACGACTACAAAAGGGAGTGTTCATATAAATAGAATCACTTGATCACAAAAAAAAAAAAAAAAAACGAATAAAAATTCTGGTCACAATTGTAAATTGCAGGATCCATGAGGGAAACAGTAATTAGATGATACAAGATAGTGGCTACACAGGCTTAACAGACCTGTTATAAATCAATGGCTATCAGGATCCCTCTGCTACCACTACTCACCTACCTTAAGCACCACAAATATTTTTTTTTAACAGTTAAAATTTGTTAGAGTTTGTGTTTTCTCTTTGATTTGTTTTGTTGTCAGACTTACAAAAGTCAGCATATTTAAACAATGTGTATTTTTCTATACTCTGCCAAAGGCTCACTGTCCCTCATGCACACAAATGGAAGTACAGCCAGTTTTACATTGTCTTTGGCAAAGCTGTCTTCTAAAACAGGCTGCTATTGCATTCTGTACTCTCCAAGCCCACAATCACCTTGTTTTTAATAGTTATTTATCCAGAGTGTGAACAGAAATCAAAGTAAACACACAGAAATTCACCAATGTATTTCTGATGCAGTACCCTTATCCCTACCAGAAGAAGTGGGGTTAATAACTAAAAGGTACTTTTTTCTTCATAGCCAAAGCAGCTGATTGCATAACAAGCCGGGGGATTTAAATACAGACACCTATCATACACAGAGCTTTTGTGGGTGCCAGCGTGAATTGCCAAACTGCACCAGCCACTTACAGACTCTCTGCAGCACATAGAAGAGCTAATAAAACGCTGTGCCTGCTGTGCAGCATATCCCACACACAGCCCTGATCGCCACTGCAGAAATGCAACATACCTTTCAGTCTTTTGGAATTCCCGTTCTTTTGCTGCTCATCCTCTTCATCAATGGTGAATAAACCCGGAGGATTTGGCCTGGCACTTTTCTTCAGTCTCTCTTGTCGGAGGGCAGTACTTGAACCAGGCATGCTGCTGTTGCTTCTTGCTTATTAAAATAAAAAAGCAAGAAACTCCAGCCCCTGCTTAGCCACTAGCTGCAACGCTGTCTGTTCATTTCAGCACTTGTAACAGATCCCCTATGGATAAGCAGTATGCAAACAGCTGACAAATACCAACATCCAGTCAGCAGCAAAAAGCTTGCAGTCTTTCCCACCTTGAAGGAAAGCCCTAATTAAAGGCACATTGGTTTGGATGCTGCTCTTCTCCGTCTTAACTTGTTCAGTCAGATCTCAGCCCACAGCTCCAGGTTCCTTGCTGCAGCACCTTCTTCCCTGCAACCCTCTTCCAGCTACAGCGTGCTAAAATATTCAGCACGCAACACAAGAGGAGAAAATATGATACGCCGCTGTTAACAGTTGCCCTGACAACACTGACACATCCTAATCAAAGGGGGGTCTATGAGTGCTGTCTCCTCAGCTGCAGCAAGCCGGCCTCGGGAACGCTGTATCCTGCACGCTTGCAGAGAGCTAGAAGCACCTCGGCAGCAGGGGCTGCTCCTTCCTCCTCTCAGGGCGGCGGGAGAATGGAGCTGCGCTTGCACAAGCAGATGAGCACTGAGTGAAAAGAAGCCTGGAAGGCTCCAGGCATGAACCTGATTTTTGCTCAGCTGCTCTGTTTGTTCATGTTTAGAAATTTTAGCCTAACCTAAAACAATGAGGATGAGTCTTCTTCCATATATGCCTGTGTTGGGTGTCATGTGTGCCACCGCCCCCCCCTTAATCACTTTACTATGCAGTACATACCTTTTGCATTAGGAATGCATACACCCACAATTACAGGCAGGTGTTGAAACATTTTTTTCCACGTGTGAAAACTCCAAAATCAGAATTTCTAGCTTGTATGGACAACATAGGACAACAAAATCACTTTCGGAATGAATATTCTGTACCATGCCATTATTAATTTTACAGCACCAACCGTTAACATATACCTTGCAAAATGAGCAAAGTCCAAACAGCCTGGGTGGTTTTATTTAACTGATTTCCCTCAGATGCTAGCCTTCTGGATTTTCTTTACCCATTTGTAACAGAGCACTTGCTCCTAAGTGCTCATAAGTGCTTCACAGCTCCTAATGCCACTACGCAACATGCTGATGTTTCACCTGAGAGGCACCTTAATCTTCATCCACTTCCACCTCTCTAATTCAATGTGTGCTCACCATTTCAAATTGCTATCAAAGAAAAACTGCAAGCTAGAATCACTGTATACTGTTAAAACTGCATGCTTTTTCCTCACTTCAGGTTTTGTTTTCAAGAGAATCTTGATGTAACCTAATCAGCCACCACAAGATGGCACATACATTAGTCAACAAGTCTGCCAGTGGCTCATTGAGAACGCGAGGTGATACAGATGCGCTGATCACCTCAACAACACAGGTAACAGTTCTGAAGAAGGGTCACAGTTTATGACAGTCAATATGGTATGTATCACAGTGGCCTGGGATGCTCTTCACAGAGGAGTCCTGGATCATGCTCAGCTGGCAGGACAGCTCTGTTCTCGCACATCTCAGGCTCATGAGCCAGGAACACAGTGGATGGAGAAGAACACAGCACCACCTGAAGGCTCAGCTGCACTATTCTTCCTTCTTCTCGAGCAGAGGCATTAAATACCCTAAACTAAACACTCTAAACCAAACCAAAAATCTTTTGCAGGAGGGCACTCTTTCTGAACCGAGCCCAGAGCCCATCTCTAGTATGCATTTCCTCCTGGCTACATCCTGCCACTTGGCTACACCTTGGACTCTCTGGGCATACACGGAAGCTGTATACAAGGACATTTGTCTACAGTTAGAGACGCTTTGTACTAAAGGGTGTGGACAAAAAAAAAAAAAAAAAAAAGGAGTAAGGAAAAAAGCTCTAACACAAGCTGTTCTTCAGCTCAGCAATTAGCCTTCTGGCGTTTATACAAGCTACTTCTTTATCCCGTAAAGAGAAACAGCTTCATTCCTCAAACCCCATCCACCTAATGCCTCTGACAAATACTGCATAACAGTACACACATCACCACGAAAAGAGGACAGTAGTTAGTACCACCAATACTTTTCATACGTGCCAAGACTGTCGCCAACAGAACTAAAATAACAGAAAACATTACTTCTATGACAGCTTAGTTAAATATCGCTCCACCCCATTTCACTGTTTTAAGTCATTATGAAAGGACTCCTACCCTTTCAAATATTGTGTTTAATTACCTTTAATTGCTAAACACCTTAAATAGGCATTTTAAAACACAGAAGAAGTATGTAACACACAAAATTACACCTGACTGGAGGGGCTTCCCAGCTTACAGGTATGACGACGGTTTCAGCACCTCTATTTCCCTATTATCAACAGAGTCATGCAGAACAGCTAAAGACTGAGAATTGCTTCCTTGGTCCTTACAGGATCCCTGCACCCAAAAGGAGTGATTTGCTCTGAGTACAAGATGTAGTAATGGCCAAGTTTGATGCTTCAGAGACTGGTGAAGATGGATTTGGGTAATGACACACAGGCAACTGAGGTACATATTTCTTCCTGTTGACTTACTAATGCAGAGGGGACAGAGAAAAACTATCAACAGGACATTCAGCTTACGCAGTGAGATTTTATTTCAAGGCCCCTGTGGTTAAAAACTATGCCAGTCCACAACATGTTTCCAAATGCCTAATAAAATGCAAACCATTACAAGTAAAAGACACCTATTATAATACAAGATACCGTATAACTTTAGGTACTCAGGGTCTAGTAACACTATTAAAACATGCATTAAAGGTACCAACATTGCATAAGAACAAATTGTACCTTCTCCCCCCTCCCCCCCCTCGCCCAAATCCACTGGTTTAGGGCAGAAAAAGAAATTCCCAAGGTATCCCCATCAGGAAAGCTTTGTTTATTTCAGCCTTGTCTCAGCTGCTTGGGAGTTTCTATATGAAAACTCAGATGAAAGCAACGTTCCCTTGAGGGAACAAGGAGGTGCATAATTTAGTAACAAGGCTGTTAAATTCTTTAAAAAAAGAAAACCCCAAAAGCAACAATTTGCTTACATAACCCCTATTATCGATTTTTTTTTCCCCTCTAACCATTAGTCATACTGTGTACTAATACAATCACAGCTGAGCTCTTACCGATGTGGTGAAACGCTCTCAAGAGATGGAATGAGAGCAACTGCTTATCTTGAGTGCAATGAATAATTTTCAGGTTTTCCTTTTGACAACACCTACAAACTCAGGTTTGCAGATAAACCACTACACTTAAACACACTCACTTTCATCCACTGGATTTTAAAAATATAATTACTTGCAAAAAACATCATCTGATATGCAACAGTCTTAAACAGCAGTTTGAACAAGGACTATTAGGACAATTATACCATGATGTGGGAAATGTAAATATTTATAACAACATGCTGAGTGATGTTTCTGCTTTACCATCAGGTATTAACATTTGGTATCTCTACTTATGAAATGAAAAGCAAGTTGAAGTCAATCACCATGATACCTACATGCTGTCTACTATGGTTAATCTGATAATTTGCAATGGCTGAACCCTGGACTTGCAACCTTCTTTCATTGATAAGATTGTTTCTGTCTCTGTACACTATCCAAACAGCACACGAAAGGAAAGACTGGACGTGGTATTTAGTGCCATGGTCATGTTCGGTCACAGGTTGGGACTCGACCTCAAAGGTCTTTTCCAACCCAATTGATTCTGTGATTTTTTGATTCATAGGAAGTAAGGAGGACAAAAGGCAGCATTCAATGCAAGTGAGCTAGCTAACAGAAAATAAAAACCTTGTGAAGACAAGAAAATCTGTACCTTTCAAAAGAGCTGACAGGCTGTGGTGACTATATATTTTAAAGGAAAAAAACCTCACCTGGTGTAACTGAAAGTCGTCTTGTATCATTGGGTATGTTAGGATACATGACAGAAAATCAAGCCAATTCAATGTAGGACCATATACTGTTGCAGAAAGGGCAAAAGAAACTTATAGAGAAATTGCCTACTAAAAGCCCTACAAACAGTAACATTCAAGACATTGCTGAATCATAATATACAGATTTTTCCTCTCACTCCATGGAGCACCCACTGTATCATCATCAAGTTACATTTTACAGGAGTCTCATATCTTTCTCCTACTTTTTTCTTAGCGTAAGAACAGTTAAAATACTGTCTTAAAAGAATACCACACCAAACCAACTGAATATGCTGAGTTGGAAGTGACCCACAAGGAACATCGAGTCCAAACCTTAGCCCTGCACAAGACCGCCCCAAGAGTCACATCATGTGTCTGAGAATACCCTCCAAATGCTTCTTGAACTCCGTCAGGCTTGGTTGCTGTGACCACTTCCCTAGGGAGCTTGTTCCAGTGCCCAGCTGCCCTCTGGATGAAGAACATTTTCCTAATATCCAACCTAAATCTCCCCTGACATAACTTCAGGCCATTCCCTCAGGTCCTGTCACTGGTCACCAGAGAAGAGATCAGTGCCTGCCCCTCCTCTTCCCCTCACAAGGAAGTTGTAACTGCAATGAGGTCTCCCCTTAGTCTCCTCCAGGCTGAACAGACCTCAGCAGCTCCTCGTACGGCTTCCCCTCAAGGCCCTTCACCATCTTTGCTGCCCTCCTTTGGAGGCTCTCTAAGAGCTGAATATCTTTCTTACACTGCAGTGCCCAAAACTGCACACAATATTTAAGGTGAGGCCGCCCCAGTGCAGAGCAGAGCAGGACAATCCCCTCCCTCGACTGGCTGGCGATGCTTTGCCTGATGCCCCCAGGACACGGTAGGCCCTCCTGGCTGCCAGGGCACTGCTGACTCTTATTCCACTTGCCGTCACCAGGACACCCATGTGCCTTTCCACGGCACTGCTTTCCAGCATCTCAATCCCCAGTCTGTACATACATCCAGGGTTGCCCCATCCCAGGTGCAGAATCCAGCACTTCCCCTTGTTGCACTTCACATGGTTGGTGATTGTCCAGTCCTCTAATTTGTCCAGGTCTCTCTGCAGGGCCTCCCTGCCTTTGAGGAAGTCAACAGCTTCTCCCAGTTTTGTGTCATCTGCAAGCTTGCTTAGTATCCTTTCCAGTCCTACATCCAAGTAATTCATAAACATGTTGAAGAGCATTCTTCTCTTGGATGCTGATTCAATGCCTTCTAACGTAAAAGGAAAGATTCCCCTCAAATGTATTTTATAACATGAAACAGATGAAGTAAATATTTTAGCATACATTCCTTTACAGATTGCCAATATTTCATTGTTATTTCTCATTTTCTTAGAACTGAGAGGTTCAGGGCAGGGTAAGTATTTATCTTATATATTTATGTCAAGAAAGAACATGGCATTTTGCTTTTATAGTCATGTTTTCCCAGCATGAAACAATAGTGTTCCATTGGGAACCAGGTTTCTTCCTTGGTAAAAAAGTATCAAGGAAGTTCAGGTACATTTAAAATCTCCCATTGTGGTCTGCAAAAACATTATAACAAAAAAATTTCAGTGTACCTACTCATCAAAACACAAGGTCATACTTTGTATGGGCATTTTCAATATTAATCATCTATGTCAAAAGCTTTTTTATGAACTCATCTAAAAATGTGTAATATAGACAGTGCTCCCTATTTCTTGCAGGACAATGTT